CCCACGAGATCTTCTCAAGACGGTCGAACCCCTTCCAGTTCCAATTAGGGTTCTGAGAAAGAAGCTGTCACTACAAAGTCTATTCTGTCGCGTGGTAGCCGCATTCTTCGACGCAAGGGAAGCAAATTCAGCATCTCTTCCACCCTAACCCTAGACGAGGAAGACGAAATGGCCAGAGGAGCTCACTCTGCGTCCCAGAAAACGGATGCGCTTGGGATATTCTACCGCAGCCATAGATCGCGGCACAGCGACACCCGTTCGTGTTCCTCCCTCCCCTCCCCCCTTTCCCCCTTATTCTTGTTAACCTGCGTATACATACATATGAATTGCTTGGGTTTTGGCTGACATTGGCTGCGTTTGTTCTCTCCTTTTCATGGTATAGATGCTCTGAAGAAGAATATCTCTGACCCCTTCGACTTCCAACATGTTACACATACAAGCCCCAGCCAGCTCCCACCTTTGAATAACTGTCATCTCCATGATATAGTGACGGAATTCTCCGTCATTAGGGCCTCCCAGCGTCCTGGCAGCGAGCTGAAGGGAATCAGAGCCGAACGCTTGCATTCCGAAAACTCTTCCTCTGACAATATTTCCACCAACAATGATGCCATTCTGCGCACTTGGGACTCAAAGTTCCAGCACTCCCATAGCCCCCCTCGATCACCTAATGCACGCACCTCACCTAACTCCCATTCCAATCTTCAATCAAACCGCAATTCTCGATCAGTAGAAAATTTTTCTCGCCCAGTGTCTCGCCTGTCCAGGCAACAATCATCCCCATCGATGATACCGCCTCCTCGATCGTCTTCAAAGCTGGCAACACCTGATATCCCTGAGCCATCACCTCAAACCATTGATGCCCTGCTTGGTCTTCATTCTACCTTTGTTGTTCCAGAAACAACGTACGATGATACACAAGAGCAACACCTCCCAAAGCTGGATCTGCCCAGCGTCTTCCCCGGTGTCGGAAACGCTATCACACCTGATGACGATGAGCCAGTAATGGCCCGTACACCGCCATCGAATATTCATACTTTTGATCTCGCAGATGTTCCAGAGGAGGACGAGACTGCGGCATTCCGCAATAGTGAGGCACGAAGCTCCGTCCTCGCAACTTCGTCAGAACCTTTCCGCTTTGGACAGTCCACCCCCAGAGTGGACTTCGATAAACCTTTACCTGCAGTGCCTTCATATACACAACGCATCCAAGAGCCGCTTGGATCGCCTACGATTCCAGCACTTGCTGGAGATTCCGATGCAGCTTTTGCACAGAAGAAATGGGCGTTGAACAAGCGGCGTTCGATATTGCAATGTCCAGCAGATGACTTGTCATGGGAGGATGACATCGATTATTGCTACGAGCATGCTGCAGAGTCAAATTCAAATTTCGATTGGCAACGCACTTCATTTGAAGAACTGGAAATGAGAGAGAGACTCGAGAGCCTGACTATTAGAGCAATCCCCGTGGCTGATTCCCCCAACGCCATTGGCACAGAAAAGTTTGCCGAACCCATTGATCTCCAGAATCAAGAGAGTCAGGATGCATCGGAACACAGTGACCGGCAAAGCATCAATGAGAACACCGCTACGGTGCCCCTTTTCATTGCTGCGAGTTATGATGTTAGCCCAATAACAGCGACCAGTCTTCTTCCATGCGTTCAAGCAGATCCATTATCACAAGCCGATTACTTTAGAGCCGAGCATGTGCCAATCGTGGCAGCGCCCTTTGGAGATGACATGGTGTCAAGTCAAGCCTATGACGAGTTGATTCCGGGCGGCCAAAAGATCGATGAACATTATCCCTTGTACTTCCCAACCCAGGTGGACGAGCCCGTCGATTCTTCCCGAGGAAGCTGCTCTCCAATCAGCAAGTGCAACTCGCAGGAAAGCATTATTCTGTCCCGCGCGGCATCAGTCGCACGAAAGCATCGCTCGTCGGTGTCCACAATCAGTGTTCCCGAGTTAGTGCATAGTTCGAACCGCAGCCACCCAGCCGTGGATTATGATTCCATGCCCTCTGCCGGTGAACAGCAAATGAAGAAAATTGCCTCCCGCCCGCCCCCCATCGCCATTCATCAACGAAGTAAGAGCCTGGCGCGAGAGCTCACTCAGCGATCGGCGCCTATCTTGTCCGCAGATTCTGTGGATGGCTATAATTCTGAGGTCTCATCTGTCCCGAAGATGCCGTATCACGATCGCGCGAAGTCTGTATCCGCCTTGGATCTGTGCCAACCTACCTCGCCCGTCAAGACCAAGACCCCTGAGACTCGAAAGCGGTCTGTCACTGTAACCCGTGGCCCTAGTGGTCGGAAGGCTCGAAAGTCATACTCGCTTTTTCCCACTGCAGCTGCAGCGACTCCCCGCCCCCGCATCGCGGTGAGAAAAATGTAAACGCAGATCGAAGAAAGAAAAATAGCAAGTGGTGTTCCACCGTTGGCGATGTGTGCACTTCTCACTGACCGCCAATTAGTCTCTTGTGGTAATTTGGGAGAGGGGCCTCTGGCCCTATATTCCTCACCACCTGTACATTGCATCGCACAATTGTTTCCTTTCCTTTTTAAACATCATCAGTTTTCCATTTTCCAATTTTGCTTGCGTCCACGCGAAAAAGCAAATAAAGTTTTGTACCCCTATATAGATAGACGGCAGTTGGTTTGGTTGTTTTTTTTTTTCTCTTTTATTTCTCTCTCTCCTTTACTTGCTTTTTCAACTTCTCTTTCTCTTTCTCTGCCCAGTCGCGCCCCAAAAAGTTTTGATGTATCATCAATAAAAAGCTGGATCGTTTTACTCTTTCCTTTCTTTTTTTTTTGGTTTTCTACCCCATCCTTGCATATTGCTGGCATTTATGACATCATTTTCATTTCTCATCAACCTTGCACTCTATATTTCTCATCCTTATCCTCCCTCCTGCCTGCCCACCCTGCCTATCCTTTTCGCATTTCCTTTCTAAGTCCATACATATATGGCGAAGACATTCGTTTTGATAACTGACACTTCACATTTTATCTTATGAGCCCCACGACCTCATTTTGGTTTTTTGAGCTTTTATACTCTGTTTGGGAAACAGCGTCTATATTACATGATACACATTACTCATGTCTACATACATACACATCACATAATCATTCATATATATTCATATATATATCTATATTTTTTTTTTCTTCTTAGTTTTTACTTCCCTCACTGTCATTCATTCTGGTGATATATCTATCATCTTTTTCCCCCTTGTTTTCAGATTTCTTTCTTTTGTCAGTCAGCCTTCCACTTGGCCTTTTACATTCCTTCTGCATGTTTCTTATTTATTCAACTTTCAACCTTTCCTTTTTCTCTCTTCTCTCTTTTGGCAAACGGCGGAATAAAGGATGGGATGTAATTGGATGAGGTTGATGAGATGGTGGATTCTAATCCTTCGCTATTAACATAAAAAGAGGGGGAAAAGTGAGAGCAGACAAGAAGTCGAAGGCTCTGCTTTTTCTTCTTTTCTTCTTTTTCTTTATATAACAAAAAAAAAAAAAAAAAAACATTATGCTCACATTTTACATATAATATAGGCTGGAGGGATTCGTTTGATTTAGCTTGGGGTTAGTCGGCTTGATTGAATTTAACTTTTTTTTTCTTGGGTACCTATCTAATTCATTGAAGCTCTGAATAAAATATGGTCTTTTCAACATCTTCATGCCCGCCCTTCTCCATGTGCCGTATGTACAATGATAGGTACACATGTACGGGTGCATATCTATACCTCAAATGTAGGAGAACAAAAAAAGAAAAGGGATCTCTTCCCCGATATCCACCCGCACGGCATGATCGCGAAATAAATTATACAACTCACACGTCATGCATCTCCGTCATACATATCTGGAATGAAGAAGAAAACGAAGTAAAGTAAAATGCATAAATTAACGAGAGTCATGAGGGGAGATGGAAGGTGAAGACGAAGGGGGATGGGGATGGGGATGGGGATAGAGATGAAAGATGGAGAAGCGCAGATGGGATTTCCACATGTACAGTACATACACTACCCACCCCTACATACAGACCGTTGCGTAACCGTCTAGATCCAGATATCTAGATAGATATAATATATACCTGGCATGGAGAAAATCGGGTTTCATCATTATCCCCACGCGCCGTCTTGTTAAATTATTATTTATTATGTTTGGGGAGGCGGGGGTTTTGGATTGGTTCGTTCCCTCTACTACTAGCAACGCAATGGCCTAACTAACATATTATGATGTTATGTATCGATTCAGGGCAGCTGCGCCGGCAATTTTGTCGATTGATGGCATTGAACATTGAGGCGAGAGGTATGTATGTACTTAGTTTAGTATCCCTTTTCTTGATTTCAACCGATAGATTTATTTGTCCCCCTCAAAAAGTCCCGAATACTTCTTACTTTCCTCACTGACTTTCTGTATTTATTTATACAACCAGTTTTTAGCTGCATTTTGCAAAAAGGGCAAGCGGATTTGGAAGGGGGATTGCTCATTTCCAAGATGCAGGTCAGTATATCGGCCAGTGTTATATGATGAGTATCACGAACAGATAAAGATGGCTAGATAGGCTGCGGCGTAACTTCGTACAGTACAGTAGTTACATTGCTAGCTAGTACTAGTTGTAGTTGGTCGTGAAAAGCCATATTCCATATTCCATATTCCACATGGGAAGGCGGTCAGCACGCCAGCAGATGAACATGCAAAGTTGTTGAAAACCATTCAACTGACACACACACACACACACACAGAGAGAGAGAGAGAGAGAGAGAATTGCTACTGTGCGTCGCTATGCAGCCTGGGTGGTTTGTTCGACGGAGCATGCGTGCCTCCCACTTAACAAACTAATAGGAAATGTTTCCTGGGAGCCGGGTGGAAAGCGTTTTCGGATTGATTCTTTTTTTTTTTTTTTTTTTTTTTTTTTTTTTGGCTAGACTCCTCCACATTTGGCCGCATCACATATTTCAATTGTGGTTTGAGATAAAATGTGACAGTTAGATGTACATATGTGTACAGATCTGTACAGTACATACATTGAGTTGTAATCAGGATTTGTTTTTGATATCTATCCATGCAGGGCACAAACCCCCCATTATTTCGAACAATGCAAGAAGTTGTATTGGATGCATGGAATCGAACTTTTTCCACGAGGCCATGTCATGTCATGTTGGAATATGGTTCAACATGCCCTGCTCAAAAGGCTGAAACACATCTATGATGCTTCTATCCCATCGCTGAAGTTACATTCATACCAAGAAATGAGGAACAAAATAGCGATCCGCCAGCTCAAGACGCCGATGGATCAATCTTCGTATGGTCTCTGTTATGGCGGCGCAAACTGTCATATCAACTCACTCCTGTCAGGCACACCTGGTCAAATACTACCTTATCTCTGTATGTGCTTGGGTAGTGCTGGCTGGGAATATGACTTGAGTCAAAGAGTAAAGGAAAACAGGGCCGAAGCTTGAGATCTAAGGTTAGCACTACATGTGAACCCCTGCTGCTTCGACAAAGAGAGGGAGGGTCCGGATCTATTTCAAGCTGGTGTTGTGATCAGCATGCAATGGCTTGACGCTACTTATAAGCAGGTACCTCGCCCAGGCATTGCAATTCCTTTTCACTTCGCAGTGGGCGTGTGTTTTCTTAGTTGTCACTTCAAACACTCCACTCATTTCACCCGGCCATCTACAATAATGCACCTCCACTTCCTCCTCCTCAGCACCCTAGGGGCGGCAATGACCGTTTCCGCGGGAGCAGATGACAGTGGCAGTCACGAAATTCCATCTGCCGTTGTTCCCGAATGCCCAAGGAAAAGTAAGATCGTATTCAACAAATCGGTTCCGGAGGGAACGACATTCCCATCGACTCAAGTCGACCTGTGTTACAGTACCAAAGGATCCGAGATTTCTCCCATGCTCCATCTGACATTCACGGCCTTCGACGAAAAGTACTTCTATTTCAATCCCAGTCAGGGAACCAACGACGACATATGGAAGTACTCGGTGATGGAGGCGTTTATACAACTCGGCGATGAGCCACCCCAAACATACCTCGAATTCGAAGTAAATCCGAACAACGTCACCTACCAGTCGTTTATTTACAATCCTTCGCGCGTGCGTGCAGAAAATGCGCCTATGGATCACGCTTTCATCTCTGATCCCTTCGGGGATGGGATGTTGGCGAAAACAACTCTCAATCGCCAAGACAAGACTTGGAAGTCGGAAGTTCAGATCCCGCTTGCCCTGTTTAACGCGCCCGAGGATCTTCGTGGTACACGCTGGAGAATGAATTTCTTCCGCACCATCACCAACCCGCAGACATTCCCTGATCAGAAACTGGGGGCTTGGAGCCCGCCTAATGAGCCGAACTTTCATATGACACCATTTTTTGGTCATGTGGCTTTTGTTTAGACAGGAGCAGTGGGATTTCCATTCACGCTCTTCTCAATATTCAACCGGAGGTATGCCGTACGCGGCGTTTGCATACTTGGCTTTCGATTCTCATGCAGGTACCTGCGATTCGTTTTGATGTTATTTATATGGCCCACTTTGCTTAGATTGTTGCCAATCAGAGAAACTTGAACAGCCATCTGCTCAATCCAAGAAATCGGCTTTACGTAACATATCGTATTCCTTTCCACAAAACGTTCAACCATTTCTTGGTAGAGCAATTTCGATCGCGAAAAGACCCATGCGCCTGAACCACAGTCGCGCATCAAAGGGTATCACGCATCTTACCTATCTTCAAATGAACAAAATGCAAGGTACTTTGCATAAGCGTATCGTGGGAACAAAGGGATCTTAAAGGGGCTATATGCACGTACCGTTGATAAACAAAACAAAAGTTTAACAAAACAACAGAGGCTTTGAATTTGCTCAGTGAAAAAGAAATAATCTGTGCGTTTTTTTTTTTTTTTCTTTATCTTGCCTCTTTTCGGTAGGTCACTAAAATTGTACCCGGCAAATGTGACCCTGTTTGTTAGCATTCCTATTTTTCCGCTTTGATCCTGTTGGTCCTTTTCTCACTCTGCTCCAAGAATCTTGCGCGGTGTTCTGCCATGACTGCGAATGTGGATGGATTGTTTAGATGGATCCGTGCTTGAAGGATATGGTGAACGTGAGGGGTCAGCCATCAAGAGTATTGGGATGACAGATAATATTGCTGTTCCCATAGCAAGCCCCGTAGAAGACCTCACAAGGCAAGGTTGACATGAGTCCGGATCTGCGTGGGTTTCATTCGATATATCCACCATCCGCGTTGGTATTGGGGGAACTCACCAGACTTCTATAGGTTATTAATAGATCTTTTGAAGACAAAAAGGCGTGCAGAAAAAGTTGAATCGAACCTGAGCATTCCCCACAATTTGATAACCCAACATCCCCATGTTGGATCCGCAAGGAGAGAAAACGGGTAACATCTCGCAAAGTCCAACTTCTTTTCGCATATCAGCGTAATGGCTAAGATTCTTCTCCAAACTTCTCCCACCTCACAGCAACAGTTCTTCTCTCTTCCCCTCATGCAGTCGGATAAAATAGCAGATAGTCCCGGAAATGGAAACGATACTAACCCGAAGGCGAACTCAACAACAAAAAGTCTGGCTCAATTGTATCATTCTGAGGCCTGGTTAAAAATGCCGCCCATTCCCTTAGATTCTGAAGCTCTTTCAAGATCGGTTTGCGACAGCGCGGAGGCATGAATGTCCCGCCAAAAGACGACCTGCTTACGCAAAGGATTTCCAATTTTGCTCATGGTGCTGAAAGCTGTCATGCAGTTATGATCATACTTGTGTTGAATTCAAGGTGAGACTTTGCTCAACCTTCGGGGCTGATGGAAATAACAACTTGGGGGCATGGTTTGACGCTATAAACACTATTTAACCCACTTCTAACAGACTGTTTGAATTGTTATATATTAACTCCATGGTAATGGTGCTGGAAAGATGGGTTGGGATGGTTTTATTGCTACCAACTCAGCAGAAATGTGAATGAAACACATTTGAGAGAAAACCCGATTACCTGGTCTGAGAAGGGTATAAAAGAGGCAGAAGTGGATTGTTTGAAGTCTGAAGAAAGTTTGCTGCTTCTGACCTGACAAAGTTGGCGTGAGGCTAAAATCTCACAGCATTTTCCTTTTTATTTACAATCTCAATTGTCCTTGATCATAGCGGTACATCATTCGAGGAACCTGTCCTTAACAGTGCGATATTCTGGATACTGAATGTCTGCGCTCTGATTGTAATATCTCAGCAACCTTCCCACTAGTTATTGGTCCCTATACTGGATGAATAACCAGTGGAATGCTCTGTCACATCACTCTTCCGAATGTGTGGGCTGCAGTGGCTTTATCGATATTAATACTATAATCAATATCAATATCATGGAATACGAACGCGGATACATCAGTTTGATGTGACTTGTAGATGTAACAAATGGTGGCCGATACCCGATAGTAGGCAGATATACAAAATATATGTCCACCGGCGGAATTATCCCGAGCTACCCCAGGTAAATCATATCAAAATGGGTTTTTTTTTTTTTTTTTTTTTTTTTTTTTTTTTTTTTGAAATGACGTGGATTCTGAAGTTAATTCATATCTTATGTTTCTGCACTGAAGTATGCAAAAAGCGTCATAGGTGTCTGGTGTGAGTGATGGTCGATGTCTGAGAAAGCTGAGGCAGTGCCTTGCAAGGTAAAAAATGTGTGGCAAACATCGATTCTGCCTCCCGCAGTACGCCTTGGTTGGGACGAGCTTTTCAAAAGCTGGATATGAACCGCAAACCGATACGAGGTCTTCACTTGCAATCGCAAGGCTCAGTTCCGACCCTTGCCGTGATTCCGCCGAGCTTCTCACCAGGCAGCTAAATAAGTTATATATTTGACATGGAGGAAGAAAATGAGAAGAATATCGCCGTAGCTCACAACAGAGCTCTTTTGCAAATATCCAAAAGCTGCTTTTTTCTTTTTTGCAAAGTCGGAAACAAATTCTTGCTGCGCCATCATATAGGGTCTCCCTGAATGTTCTTTTCATTTCATGATCGCTGGTGTCAACTCTCTGCGAACTTGAAATCACCAACATTGTCCTACCATGGAAAGCCGCGTCGTCAAAAAACAGCTAATTTTCCGCATTAATGGCCCGAATAGACCGCCTCGGAAATCTGAGGAGGAAAATGGCAAGTCAAAGGACACTGTCTATCATCCCCGCCGGCCCCATCGCAAGTCTCGAGCTGGCTGTTTGAATTGCAAGAAACGGCGGGTCAAGGTATGTCCAATAGCTTTGGTCGCTTTGGACGTGGAAACATATTGATTTTCGCTTCAAGTGTGATGAGACAAAACCCGAGTGCCAAAAGTGCATGACGTACGGCGTAGGCTGCGATTACTCGACAACACTGGTTCAGCGATGTCAACCGATATTGCACGCGGGATCTTGTCAAGTTGCTCCCGGCCCACGTCTTCTGCCTTCATCGATACAATTCTCGATGTCTGTGGCCGATTTAGCTGATAAGATCGAACGGGTCCTACAACTTGATGAGTCCACTGATAGGGCTTTCCTCCAGGTGATGAGTTCAATAAGCCATAGAACTGTGGAATTTTTCCATCACTTCATAACTATGGCCGCCCATGCGTCTTCGTCGTCTGATGCCCATAGACGAGTCATGAGTGGTAAAATGATTCAACTTGCTTTCCAGGTACAGATTACTTTACAATCGATTTCCTTCTTTGCCCATTCCCCTTGCAAACTACTAAATGTGTTTGCCCCTAGAACCCAAGCCTCATGCATGCCGTTTTTGGCGTTGCAGTAACACACCTCCGCCGTCTTCTGCCCTATGACAAATCCTATGCTATTGCCGCAGGGGTCCATTGGGAGCGTGCATTAAAACTTTACCGTAGGGAAATTTCAAAGCCAATTGACGAGCACAATATGGACCCTCTAATGTCGACTTGCATGTTATTGGGTACCATCATTTTCAGCCCGGAGGAATGTAAACCAGCTAGTTCTTGGGTGTTTTCATCGGATCCTACGCGGCTCTCGTGGCTGCTGGGCCAGTCCGGGCTTCGATATATCCTCGAAGCCATCACCATCCAGCAACTGCGGCAAAGCATTTGGTTCGAAGCTTTCATGGAATCTGATGATGAGGATCACACATTCAACAATAACTCACCGGGCCGGGAGGGACTGCATCCGGAGCTTGCAGAGCTGTGTGAGATCCACGAAACGACCACCGAAGAATCCAATCCATATCACTGGCCACTCCGAATGCTCAGCCCCATGCTGCCTCTCAAAGCGGACAGAAACAACTTTGCGAAACTCATCCCCTTCATTGGGAGACTCTATCCCGCATATACCAAGCTCCTACAGGAGAAGGATCCCAGGGCGCTCCTCATACTAAGTTATTGGCTTGGGAAACTGTGCGAGGAGAAGCAATGGTGGACATACACCAAAGTTTCTTCCGAGTGCTTCGCAATTTGCATGTATCTTGAACATAATGAGGACCCTCGAATTTTGAAACTGCTTCAATATCCGGCGGAGAAATGTGGCTATGTCTTGAACTATGTCCTCAAAGATATAATTACGCAAGAAAACGAGGGCCTCGTTTATTTCCCCTGAAACAGCGACTGGAAATGTCATTACATGCTTGCGAAATCGATATTGTAAACTTGCACTACAAATGTCACAGAACCTTAAATAATTGATCCTGATACTCTTGAGCGAGAAATTCGGAGAGCACTTCGAATTCTAGCTCCGGAATTCGATTAGCTTCGTGGCATCGGAATGGGGCGGATTTTTAGAAGGGCGATCGATTTCAGGTCACTACTGTCACGAAAGAGTGCTTTCCCTAGGTTTTTCTTACTTTCCTATTCCTACATGTTTCCTTTCTTCGGAATTCTCGCTACTTTTTCAATATATGATATTTCCAATTAGTATATAAGGCTCCAATCATTTCTCAACTATAAACAGAAGATAATCGCAATATGTTACCGGCTCGAAGCAACCCTATGAGATAACTGAAGAACCTTTGATATTTAGAATTTTGTATGCCACATCTTGAATGATTTAAATATCCACCAAAACAACTTCCAGTTTATAGATGCATTTATTTTCTTCCGCCATCGTGAAGTGAATGGGTGTTTCTAAATTACCCAAGCCTTGTGGAGCTTATTACTGCTATTCATAGAAATAATTTCCCTGCCCTGAGCCCGCCTAGGTTCAATATATCAAAGCCGGGTTTATCTATTTACAGTACATTAGCTTTCCCATAACCTGTTTCGTATACTACGTACACATACTTTCTCAAGACCTCCATTTTCTTGAACTTTCTCCCATCTGTAATCACTTCTTCCCCTTAACCTCAGGCAATGCACCCCGAGCCTTCAACTCACAAAACCACAGCTCCTCCTCCGCAAACATCCAGAGCCCCTCCTTACCAAAGCAGAAATTTGCTGTAGTACTCCCAACGACGATCTTCCCCACCAAATGTCCCTTGGGGTCCCACACGTGCACACCATCCCCACATCCAGAGTATACAAACCCCTTCTCATCACACTTAATCCCATCCGGTACTCCATTATCACAATAGGCAAACAGCCGCCGATTTGCCAAACGAGTTCCCCCATCCACTACATCATAAACATAGATAGAAGCCGGTGACGTCCCGCAGAACGAGAAATTATGTCCATCCCCTATATGGCCATGACTCTGTATCGCACCTGTATCCGAGATGTACATGAGGGTGTAGTCTGGATTGAAACAAAGGCCATTGCACATACTGAAGCCATCGGCGACAACCCAACATTGGCATGTTGAGGGTCGGAAGCAGTATACTTGTTTGGGCAGCTCGGGAACGGGGCGGAATGCCTGCTCGAACCCATATGTCGGATCCGTGAACCATATGTCTCTCGTCCCATGGTGAACGACGACGTCGTTGATCGAAGAGAATTCACGGCCGTGGAAGTTATTTATCAGAGTGTCTGCGGTGCCGCAGACGGGGTCGACCAGGGTGAGGGCAGAGGGCTTGCCGTTGCCACCACCAGTATCCATGTTGCCCTGGGCGCAGTAGAGGATTTTGCCCTGGTAATTACAGGCGCCATTGGGCTGGCTGACGATATCAAAGCCTGGCTTCTCGGTGAGTTTCTCAATCTGCCAGGTGTCGGCTGTTATGGCGTAGAGGTCGATTCTGGGGTCGCTGGTCTGGTAGTTTGATGTGAAGTAGATACTGTTTGTGCTTGGGATGTATACCCCGGCTTCATGGGCGAATTTATCCTTCGCATCTTTGCGGGACGAGACGAGAGATAACCGGGCATTGAGACCGAGCACATCGTTAATGAATTTGTCCGAGTAAACAACAAATGAGGGAGCGGAGCTGAAGGACCGGGCATAAGAGCTGTCGGTTGCTGCCCGTTTAGTGTCAAAATATGCAATCTTGGTGGTGGAGGCGAGGGCTGGAGGGTGCATTGCGGCTAGTATTACGGTTTGGTTTCTTCGAAAAATATACTGAGCAATAACTCAACGATGATTACGGATTTCTAATGGGAGTTGTTAGATGAGTCCAAGCGTTGGGAAGTTGCCAACAAGAAGAAACGGTTGCAGAAACGGTTGCCCCGCGCTCACAGAGTTCCTGTCTGTCGTGGAGCAATGGATCCAAAATGTCAAGATGAATTTTAAGTTGCCGATACAAAATCCTGACAATATTTGTGGAAGAAGGCTGATATCGGTTTTCTGTTTGGTGGTCTTCCCGCAATAGTTTGGAGGCTACGTAGAGATATGGAATCCGCCGTGATCCGGCTATGAATAGAACGGATTGAACCAAACTTCATCTCTTCATTCATTCCAATTACCTATATATAGATATAACGTAGAGCAAGCAAATAAGGAGATCAATAGAGATCCCTGCTTTGAAATCCGAGAAAAGGAGAAGTACAGTATACTGCACCTGAAAGGGTAAACGCAGAATGATAAAATAATAAAGACAAGTGATGAATGGATATGGGAATTCAAACCAGTAGGAAAGTGATACCGCACTGAACGCACCATAAAGGACACCAATGCATGTTTCTTAAAAACATATAGTTAGGGAAACAAACAAATAGACCAGCTTAAAAGAGGCCATGGAAAGGGGGCGACAAGAAAATACGAAACGGAAAATCAGCCGATGAGAGAAAATTAAACGTTCTGAGTATATATAGTGATTCGTGTGCTGGAGGTAATGGCTGCAACATATCAACTAGTCCCCGCTGATGTTGGTGCCGTGAAAATTTTGGTGCACACAGAACGCTTACTCTTCATCTTCATCTTCATCCGTGCGATCCTTCATCTCCGTATCTCTATCCCCACTACCAGCACGGTCCATGGCCTCGTCACCACTTTTCTCCTCAAAAAGATCATCCTCGTCATTTGGCTCCGCATCCGGCGAGGCAGGGCGAGCTTTCTTCCCTGCACTCTCCACTTCACTCTCCCCTTCTTCATCCTCATCATCCTCAATGCGAAGATTCAACTTTGTCCGCCGCCGTCGCACAACAGCATCAGCATCCTTATCCTCATCCACAGAGACCCCTCCAGCAGTAGTATCACGCATATCGTCATCCTCGTCACGATCCGAAACGGGGGAACCAGCATCACGATTAGCCCCATTCGCTTCCCTGGTCCCAGATCCTGCGCCTTCTTCGCCGTCCTCACTCTCAGACTCAACCACAATCTCACTACTTTTATACTTACTAGACTTAGTAGTGGACCGTCTCTCCAGCCGTCTCCGTTTCCGCGGCGCGGGGTGATCTTCTGCATCAGATTCCAGCTCACTTTCTGGACCCGTACTCCGATCCTTAGACTTCCTCCCTGCCGCACCACTATCGTCCCCAGCATCCTTTTTCTTCCGCTTACTCGCCGCCGCCGCCTTCTTCTTTCTTTTCACCTTATCCCCGGTCTCGGAGTCAGTGGTATACTCTGCTTCTTCCCTAGCCCGCTCTTCCTCTGCACGTATCGCAGCAAGGCGCTGCGCTTCCTCAATTAGCCGCTGCCGGTCCTCAGCAATCTGTCTCTTCCGTTCCAACTCAGCCTCCTCCACCTTCCGCTTCTCCTCTTCGCGCCTCCTCAATTCAGTCTCCCGCGCCTCCCGCGCCTGCTGTAACTTCGTGGCGTTCTTCTCCTCGTATTCCCCCTGGCTCTGTAGCGTCCGCTCCAGCTTTCTGCGGATGGTATTTTTGCCCATGTTCGCGCGCTGCTCCAAAGAGCCGCGGGGGTAAGGTGGATGCTTGGCTTTCGCAATTTGGCTGAAGGTGTTGATCGCTTCATCAAGGCCGTCGGAAGCGATTTGGACGTCTTGGAGCGACTTTTGGGTTTCCGGGAGAGAGACTACCAGTTGCGCGATCTGGTTTTGGACGAATGCGACGTTAAATTCAAGGTGGATTTGTTCGGGGGCAATGGCGCGAGCGCGTTGGGTACAGTCCAGGGCGGTATTCATAGCCGCCAGGTTCATTTCTTGCATGCCTTTCAAGAGCCAGACACGGCCGAGACAGGCTAGAATTTGGGTATCGCGTTGTCTATCCTTGGAGAGAGCGGCTTCGTACTAGAGTTAGGTTAGTAAACATCGAACATGGCAAGTTGTTCTTTTCCTTTTCTATTCTTAGGCTAAACCACTTACGTTCTCAATGGACTTAGAAAATTGCCTAAGCTCAGCATACACATGTCCAAGATTAAGGTAGACGCTCGCGTCGCGCAGTGTGTCTCGAATGCGTGAGAAGATCTGTACCGCAGTCGTGTAATCCTTTCTATCATCAACCAATGCAATAGCAATCCCCTGCGCCGCATAAGCATTCTTCGGATCAAGTTGTAGCGCCTTATCAAAGAACTCCACAGCCTTCTCGTACATCTTTCTTCGTTTCTCTCTATCCTGCTCTGTATCGCGCCTCATGTCTCGAGCGGCAAGGAGGAAGATATTGCCCATTCCCGTAAGCGAGTACCTGTCATGTTTATCATATCCCTGAAGTGTATGCTTGTAGTGACGTTGTTCGTGGTCTTCGGCGATATTTGCTACCCTTCTCTTCGATTTGCTTAGGTACCAGCCAAACAGAGCACGGACTTCAAGATTTGTAGACTCTAGTTCATATAATTTGGCCATTTTCTTGGGTCCTTCGTCTGTTGGGCTTTGGCGGAGAGCGATATATGTCAATCGGGCATTGGCTTCGGTGTAATCACTATGCCTCTCCAGAAGTCCTTCATATACCTTTTTGGCTTCCTCGGGCATGGACGCGGCCTCATAAGTTCTGGCGAGATTATAGCTGATTGTGGTAACGAAAGCATCGGTGTCGGCCGAATCATCTCTGTCACGAGATTTCACGCAAGCATTGAGGGCTGTCTGGAACATATTCCGTGCAAGTTCTATCTTCTCAGAATGATACAAGAAGCAGCCCATATTGTTCAACAGCTGAGGCGCCAAATGTTCCCGAAGGAGGTTCGTTGTTGTCTCCTCATCATGGATATCCTCGGGCCGCTCGGTATCCGGGATCTGAGCCAGCTGCATCTGCTCGACATGCTGCAGGCACTGCATGCTCTTCTCTGGCGAACCACTCTCGTACAGTCGTGCAAGATAAAGTAAAACAGACTCATCAGGCGAAAGTTTTTTCTTCTCATCTTTCCACGACGCACGCACGGACTCGAGGAGGCTCGTGGCTTTCTTCACTTCAGCGGACTTGTCCTCTTTGAGCGGGCTAGACTGGGCTGCAAACACTTCCTCCGCAAAGAGAGCCCCAAGCAGGGTCATCGACTCTGGATTCTTCGTCTGCTGGATAATCTTTTCCAGACGAAATTTGGCCCCATCATAGTCACCGGTCCTCACTTGCATTTGCACAGCGCCGAATTTCGCCGGCAGGTATCCTCTATCCCCACCACCTCGGGCCTGGTCTGACCGGGTGTAATACTCGTTGGCTCTTGCAGAGTTGCCTTCAAAGTGTTCCTTTCGCGCGAGTAAATACCATCCATCACTAGCAATCGCGTTAACATCAGTGAGTTCAATCGCCTTGCGGGCTAGCGCTTCGACAGTTGGGAAATGTTTGCGGAGTAAGAAATAGCCGCCAAACATGGAACAGGTCATGGGATATTCCTTGTCCACTTTGAATGCTTTCTGCGTGTACTGCGTCATGGCTATTTTGTACAAAGAGCCGAAAGCCGGGTCGTTGGTTGCGTGCCGAGAGCTGTCATAGAGATAGTAAGCTCCCAGAAGGAAATGGGCAACTTTGGATTCCGGATTCTGCACCGTCGAGCAGA